AGAGTAGACTACAATGCCGGCTGTTCTGACTCACAGACTGTAAGTACGTTTTTTATATTTAAAGAATTTGCCACTGATGATTCAAACGCGTGTTTTGAGCAGTGTAGAGTAGTGCTTGTTGTTTGTCATTTCTCCGATCACAAATGCAGACATGGTTTTATGTTTACGCGGCGTGATGCAACGCAACGCGTAAAAAGACAGTATAAATCATTATAATCCGTAATTATGTCCCCACTGGATGCAACAAATGCCTCGTTTATAATGGGTTTTAATGTGTTTGTCTCGTCGCTCCGGCCGGACAGGGCATCACAGTATGGTAAGGGGCGTAACATTTCCGTCACACGCTTCAGGTATTCGGCCAATCACAACGCACTGGATAGCTGGCCAATCACAGCACACCTCGCTTTTTCAGACCGATGAGCTTTGTAAAAATCGACAAGGCGGGGCATAGAGGAGAAACAATAATGTACAGTATGTGGAAAATAATGTGTTTTTTGAACTTTAAATCACATAAACACATTTCATTACACCAAATACACAAAATAATGTTCTTTTTAGCAGCATCATATGACCCCTTTAAAAAATATATCAAATAATGTGTATGTTTATTGTTATCAATAACATTGATATTAAAATTTGTCATTTTGAGTGGAGGGGTGGTGGGTAGTAGTTTATTTGAATATTTATTTGTCCCTCCATTTTCATCAGATTTCTGTCAACTTCAACTGGATCCAAACACTGCACACAAAAAAATCATCCTGTCAGAAAGGAACAGAAAAGCATCATATTCAGATAAAGTCCAGCAATATCCTGATCACCGAGAACGATTTGATAAATATATGCATGTCTTGTGTAGAGAGGGTTTGAACGGTCGCTGTTACTGGGAGGTTGAGTGCTGTGGGGACGACTGGTCTGTAGCAGTTTCCTATAGAGGAATTAGTCGTAAAGGAAAAACTGATGATTGCAGACTGGGGTTTAATAATAAGTCATGGAGAGTGACCCACTGTCAACAGAATTTCTATTTCAGACATGATAAAGAGCACGTCCTTATTCGTGATGTCCCCTCCTCTAGAATAGGAGTGTATCTGGATCACAGAGCAGGAACTCTGTGCTTCTACAGCGTCTCTGACACAATGACTCTACTACACAGAGTCCAGACCACATTCACTGAACCCCTCTACCCTGCATTTGGGGTTGCATCAGGTTCTGTCAGGATCATAGAGCAGAGGGGAATTCTCAAAGACCAGAAATAAAAGACAAACAAAGTTTCTTAAACTTGCTCAAAGTTTTTGTATACTCTTCTCTATCCTGTACGATAAAACCAAGACTATTCAAGGTTCATGATTAAGACAAAAGGCGTCAACTTTAGCTCGTCATGTCCTCTTGAGTTTCACAGAAAGGTTTTCATTATTGTGTGAACTAATTCTGAAATTAAAGCCTACTGGCAATAATACTAATAATAATTCAAATTCATAAAATCATGATCAGATTTGAGAAGTGTTCTATAATAACAATGTCACTAAATTTACTAACTTCTGTGAAGAAAAAAATGCTTTTGGGATTGCATTATTGCATTAATAATTTACTTAATTTGACATATCTGAGTAATTATCTCTCTCTCTCTGTGTGTGTGACTGTTGCATTTTCCATGAATTTTGATTTATTTTGGGGAGTATTGTGGTGTTGTGCGAAGAATTGAGCTGAATATTGAACATAGCTGCATTAATTACCACTAACCACAATATCCTACCACTGTCTCACATATATATATATATATATATATATATATATATTTACTATATATATATATATATATATATATAAATTTACATATTATGTATTACTGCAAAGTCCAAATAAAATGCCGAACTCGGCTGCACTTTTTAATGCCAAGATAATATAACACAATGTGATTGCTATTATATCTTTACGTTTTCTGTATTTCTCTTGCAGTATGAGGAAAATGTTTGTATGGTGTTTTGGTGTTTAAATGGACATGCAAATGTGACTTTTCTGTTGTAACATTGATACAAAAATAAAAGTACTGTATCAATGCAATTGTGCATATTATTTGTATGTGTACTAAAGACTTCTCTCTGTGTATTGACTTATCTCAGTTAACTTTTACCTGCTGTTGAAATTTGTCTCTAAAAAATTGTGACAACAGCATTCAGCTAGACAAACTGTCATTCTTGTATAGTAGTAAAACAGCTGTGTCAACAAAAAAGCAGAACCAAAATTAATTTTCTATATAACTAACGTTTCCATGGTTGACTGCCTTGGTGAAAAACATCGAATTATTTTGACCAGTGAGTGTCACACAATGACAAAAACTTTTTATTTTGAAAACTAATAATCAGAATCAGAATTAGCTTCATTCGCCAAGTGTGTGCAAACCCATAAGGAATTTGCTGTGGTTTTTTAGGAGCTCTTGGTACATACATACATACATACATACATACATACATACAATAACTAGGTTTTGAAGCGTGAAATAAGTGGGTGGGTTACTAAAATTTGCAGACTTGCAGTAGCCTAGTTGTGATGTCCTATAAAACAGTAATTTTAAAGTCAATCTTTTTATACGTATATACAGCATGTGTTACCAGAAATTTCCAAAAGGTGGCAGCAATGCGTTTTCGAGTTTGCCATGCAAATCCAAAAGAACAAACAGGATGCGCAGAGGAGAGGGTTGCCAAGTCCGCGGTTTTACAGGAAATATTTCAAACTGTTGCACTATTGGGCTAGATTTGCTGGTTTTGTTTCGCACACCTGGCAACCCGCCGGCTAAAGCTAAAAGTGAGGGTTTTAACCATAGTGAAAGAAGGGCTATTGTGGAATATTTTGGACGGATGTGAGATTCGATGCCGATTTACACAGGTTACAGATATTAACCAGCTCCAGAGTTGAAATACTAATGTAATGAAACGCATTATGTGTCCCGGTTTGTTATTAATTACAGTGTACGTTATTGTGTTGGCAGCGAGTACAAGCTCTGAGTGAGTGCAGATGTGTTGTCAAGATTTAATTTCATGGCTTAATGCTATTAAAAATATTGTTTCTTTTCTAATGTAAGAATTTACCTTTGTCCGCACTGTACCGTACTAGAGTAGCTACATTGCTTACTACATCGAATAATCATTCATTTTGATCAACCTCCATTCAGTCTGTTCATATTTTGTATAAAGTGGATCTCTAAAAAAGCCTCTTTGCACAATTTTACCTCTGCTTACCCTTGTTTCTTAGACTAGTTATATATATATATATATATATATATATATATATATATATACACACACACACACAGTAAATGAACATACTTTCCAGAAGGCCAACAATTCACTAAAAAATTTTTTTGTTTTTGTTTGTATTCTAATTTGTTGAGATAGTGAATTGGTGGGTTTTTGTGAAATGTGAGCCAAAATCATCACAATTAAAAAAACCAAGGACTTAAACTATTTCAGTCTGTGTGCATTGAATTTATTTAATACACGAGTTTCACAATTTGAGTTGAATTACTGAAATAAATGAACTTTTCCACGACATTCTAATTTATTGAGATGCACCTGTATATACACACACACACTGTAGGTCTTGTACACTGCTAATATTGTTGGTTCTGTGACAAATTTCTTATGTTCCTGTCTGCTAAAGCATAAATGTAATGTAAATGTAAATCTCTGTTATCTATGTTAGATTTCTGATTAGTTTGTATGTTCTTTTAAGAATATAAAAATTAAATCCTTGGTTACATAAAAATGAACAACCTTCTTATGGAACGGTTTTACTAACATATAACCATTTTAAAATACTCTATGTCAGAAAACACACATGTAATTAAAGTAATTCGATATGAATTCTTCTTGAATTTGCCAGATCTGGTGCCCATTTCACAACAGCCCACCAATGAAGGTTAGCAATATTCCCATCATCCTAGAAGAAGAGAAACTCCACATCTGTGACATGCTATGGTAAAGACTGAGCTTGTTAAAGTGGAGATTGATGACATGAGTGATCCAGAAACATCCAGAAACAATTATGAAGAAACCGAGGAAGAAACAGGTTGGTGTCCATTCTTGAGTCTTTATTATTGACTGCTGAGAAACATTAAAGGGGTCATATGATGCGATTTCATGTTTTCCTTTCTCTTTGGAGTGTTACAAACTCTTGGTGCATAAAGAAGATCTGTAAAGTTGCAAAGACTAAAGTCTCAAATCCAAAGAGACACACCTACCTAAAACGGGTCGTTCTAACACGCCCCCACATGTCTACATCACTATGTGGGAAGATTTGCATAATGCTGCCCAAATGTTCACGCAAAGAAAGAAGGCGTAACTTTTATTCTCGCTGTAGTATTGTGAAGACGCTGTGTGTTTCGTTGTGAAAGCTTTACATTGTTTGGTCTTCCAAAAGAGGACACGACTATAAATCAGTGGTTAAGTTGTATTTACAACACTGTTCCAGAACAGTTCAAACCAAATATTCAGATGTGTGCTGATCCTGGTAGAGTAGACTACAATGCCGGCTGTTCTGACTCACAGACTGTAAGTACGTTTTTTATGTTTAAAGGACTTGCCACTGATGATTCAAACACGAGTTTTGAGCAGTGTAGAGTAGCGTTTGTTGTTTGTCATTTCTCCGATCACAAATGCAGACATGGTTTTATGTTTACGTGGCGCGATGCAACGCAACGCGTAAAAAGACAGTATAAGTCATTATAATCCATAATAATGTCCCCACTGGATGCAACAAATGCCTCGTTTATAATGGGTTTGAATGTTTTTGTTTCTGGCCGAGACACGGCATCAACAGTCTGGTGAGGGGCGTAACATTTCCGTCACACGCTTGAGGTATTCGGCCAATCACAACGCACTGGATATCTGGCCAATCAGAGCACACCTCGCTTTTCAGACCGATGAGCTTTGTAAAAATCGACGCGTTTCAGAAAGGCGGGGCATAGAGGAGAAACAATAATGTACAGTATGTGGAAAATAAGGTGTTTTTTGAACCTTAAACCGCATAAACACATTTCATTACACCAAATACACAAAATAATGTTCTTTTTAGCAACATCATATGACCCCTTCAGTTCACGAGATTTAATGTTAGTGAAATAATAAGCAATATATGAACGATTAATGTATCGCAGTTGTCATCCACATTTTGATCGTATTATCAAGGAAATGACAGACCTTACCTTTGGCATATACTGTTGCTTTCTGCTCTTAAATCATGTTCACTTGACCTGATTTTAACTATTTAGTATGTTTATTTTAGATCGGATGGAAGTGAAAGAGCAAAGACAAGAACTAAACGAGGAGGAGGAACATCATAACTTCAAAACCCGAAGAAAATCCAAAAAGCAAATGTATCGCAGTTGTCATCCACATTTTGATCGTATTATCAAGGAAATGACAGACCTTACCTTTGGCATATACTGTTGCTTTCTGCTCTTAAATCATGTTCACTTGACCTGATTTGAACTATTTAGTATGTTTATTTTAGATCGGATGGAAGTGAAAGAGCAAAGACAAGAACTAAACGAGGAGGAGGAACATCATAACTTCAAAACCCGAAGAAAATCCAAAAAGCGGCACATTTGCTCACAGTGTGGAAAGAGTTTCAGACTTAAATTAGGTCTCAGTAATCATCTGTGGCGCCACTCTGGAGAAAAGCCATTTAACTGTGATCAATGTGGTAAAAAGTATACTTCGTTATCAAATCTAAATCTTCACCTGAAAGTTCATTCAGATGAGAAGCCTTACGTGTGTTCTGTCTGTGGAAAGAGTTTCTCTCGGCTGGACTGTTGTAAACAGCATCAGAAAACACATGATGAAGTGAGAGATCATGTGTGTTGTGAGTGTGGGAAGAGCTTTACTACAGCCGGTCAGTTGAAACAGCATCAAATAATTCACACTGGAGAAAGACCTTACAAGTGCTCCTATTGTGACAAGAGTTTCACTCAGCCTGGAAACCTGAAATCTCACGAGCGTGTTCATACTGGAGAGAAGCCGTACCAATGTACTCAGTGTGGAGAGCATTTCAAATATTCAACTATTCTCAATGATCACATGCGCATTCACTCTGGAGAAAAGCCATTTAACTGTGATCAGTGTGGTAAAGAGTTTAATTCATCATCAAATCTGAAAAAACACCTGAAAGTCCATACAAATGAGAGGCCTTATGTGTGTCCTTACTGTGGGAAGAGTTTTTCAGTGTTGGTCAGTTGTAATCTGCATCAGAAAATCCACACTGGTGAGAAAGATCACTTGTGTTGTGAGTGTGGGAAGGGCTTTACTACACTTGGCCAACTGAAATGCCACCAAAAGATTCATACTGGAGAAAAACCCTACAAGTGCTCATATTGCGACAAGAGTTTCACTCTGTCTTCGCAACAGAAATCACATGAACGAATTCATACCGGAGAGAAGCCGTACAGCTGTACTCAGTGTGGAGAGAGTTTTAGACATTCAAACTCTTTAGTGAATCATATGAAAAAGCATTTTCCATCAAGTCCATCCAGTTAGTGGGGAAGTCGTGGCCTAATGGTTAGAGAGTCGGACTCGTAACCCAAAGGTTGTGGGTTCGAGTCTCGTACCGGCAGGGATTGTAGGTGGGGGGAGTGAATGTACAGCGCTCTCTTCCACCTTCAATACCATGACTGAGATGCCCTTGAGCAAGGCACCGAACCCCCAACCGCTCCCTGGGCGCCGCAGCATAAATGGCTGCCCACTGCTCCGGGTGTGTGTTCACGGTGTGTGTGTGTTCACTGCTGTGTGTGTGCACTTTGGATGGGTTAAATGCAGAGCACTAATTCTGAGTATGGGTCACACGCTTTGTAGACATGTCGAATATTTAGACAAGTGGAGGGTGAGTAAATGATGACTGCATTTTCATTCTGGAAGTGAACTACTCCTTTAAGTAATGTTGTAATGTAAAAGTAATACTGTAGCCATATTATGTTAAATGTTTGTGAATCACGTGACTACTACTACTACAAAAACAAAAGAGTCAAAAATCCCCGAAATTTCGGGCCAGTTTTGTTACGTAGGTTCATTTTTAATGCCAATCCATCACTAATAACACGAAACAAGCGCTACATGTTAATAAAAGAACACACATTTTACAGAACCTTCACATTTAATGGTATCTAATTATTTATAGATTACATTTAAAGCAGCACTATGCAACTTTTTCTGTGTTCAAAATTTGCTAAATGTATATAATGAGCGAGTGCATCATGAATTAATCTTCCAAACCGCGTTTTTGTCTTATTCCGAATCACTACGGTACACTTATAATAAGTACTTATATTCGGACTATTGTAGCCTGGTCACCGCTGCGGAGTAACACATACCTGCGTGAATCGCCAGAGACATAAACTTAGAGAAGTAGCTCCGGTTGGAATGCTCTTCCGCGGGATGTGTGCAGCTCTGTTTATTCACCGCTAAAGCGCCAAAAGTTACATAGTGCTGCTTTAATCGATTAGAGCTGAGTTTTTGTTACATTTACATCATTTTGGCCAGCAGGTGCCGCCAGTCTGGTGTGTTTCGAGGGCTTTGAATCGTTTTGCGTGTGAATGAATCATTCGGTTCAAATGATTCAGAGATTCGAAGAGCTTCACTACAGGACGCACTCTCGGCACCGCCCTCCCGTCGACGTGGCCAATCAGCTCGCGCTGGCCTCGTGTGACGTCACGCGCCAGCTGGTTCTCGGAACAAAAGCGGTCTGCGCGCTCCGCTCCTCCCCGCCGGATACCACCGAGAAAACGCGGACGCGTTCGTTTTTAGCGTCAAAGTTAGTTTTATAGGAATGTGCGGCGTGACATACGCCCGCATACAGTGTAAAAGTGTAAATCCCGGCGAGTGTTTGTGTCCGCGCTGAAGCTCCGAGGGATTCTCGCGAGAGTAAGTAGATCAGCAGCGCGTGGCTGGTTTGTTTGTGTTTGTGCTTTACATTGTTTCAAAGCAGCTGAAACCGCAGGACCGCATTGGGTCGTGTTGCGATTGTGCATGCTGGTTCTGGACCATGTTCTACACGAATTATGCTGAAAATATTCAGGCACAACATTTTTGGCCTCATGCACCTTTAAAACTCATTGTTTCGCTCGCACGGATATATTTCTGTTCACTAAAAATTTAGTTCAATGGTTATTCCGGGGGGGAAGTTGCCTGTCAGGCAGTGTACATGAAATAGTATGTTTTGAAAATAGAGTTGTGTGTCATCTTCAGTGTTTACGTGCAAAGGTCACAGTGGAAAGAGGTTCGGATATAATCTAATCACGCTGTTGTCCTCCCCTTACCCTCTATCTGTCACAGATTCTGAATGTTGTGAAATGCATGAATCAGAGGTGAACAGTGAGGGGGAGACTCTATTAAAAGCTTTTTATTTCATCTTTTGTGTATGGCAGCGGTGATTCAGACACTGAAGGGTGTTATTTCCTAGTTTGGGCCGCTGTCACTTCTGCAAAGTTCTTTCCATTCCCTTTGTCTCGTGTGTTTTTGTTCTTCTGTCGTCTTTAAAGTCGTGCCCACTTCCTGTTACCTATGGAATTTGCATATGTTCGTTATTCATTATGGATACTTTCTCAACCCTTATGCAAACAAGTTCTGCGACCTGTGCACATGTGTCTGTTTGAGTTTAAACAAAGGGTTCTGTCCATTTAATGATCAAAAGGTAAGTTGTCAAATAAAGATTTGGCATGTGTCAATCAAAATGAACATCACACTTTTAAGCTGCGCATGCGCCGCTCAGAAGTGATGCACGCGGAAATGCAGAGGAGAGATCAAAACAAAACAACGGTCAAGAATTAGAAGTACAAAACGAGGATTTGTAAAGAAGAATGTTGGAGGATTTCGATATACAGTGGGCACGGAAAGTATTCAGACCCCCTTAAATTTTTCACTCTTTGTTATATTGCAGCCATTTGCTAAAATCATTTAAGTTAATTTTTT